CTATTTCCTGGAGCACCATTTTTTCCGATGTGGCACCGTTGCTCGAGGAAACGACAACGATGCCAAACAGCCCCAGAGACTGCAGAAGACATATGATGAAAGAGGGGATCAAAATACAAAGTTTTTTTATTATAAGCATTATTGCCAATAGAAGAAGGTTGACTGTTGATTGGTCAAGGAAGGAAAATGGCCTGTGGAGGGAGGAGGATCAAGAATAAATGAAGAGTATGTTTATACAATATTTTCTTTGATGAATAAGAAATTGTATAGTGGTAAAATTGTAAATCATGTGCAGACAGTTTGATAGATACTCAAACTGGCATTTGAATAGGTATGGGGTGGGGTGCTAGGGTATTGGGTGCGCGGGGACGAGAGAGAATACATTGATAATAGTGGAGTAGGTGCTGGCAAGTTTCAAATTTTCTTTCATGGGAGAGGTGTAGATGAATGTGTTACTATTGATTGTAGGGGTGGATTTTTACAAGTTAAGTCATCCGCAATTGAAGCTTTGGATGCTGAGAAAGTAGAGTGCACACTTTGTCCTTTTCTTATGTCCCTATATATCTAAGAATTTATTTGTTTTGCAGTCAGAATTGAAATGGTTTATTCTCATAGTTTACTTGGTTCAAACAAGAATTAAAATGGGAATTGGAATCAACTGAAATGGAATTTCATCCTCAAAGAAGGGGGAGGGAATTGCCACTCCACCATGAATGGCAATGGGATTCCGATTCCACCCTACCAAAAAATTAGAATCGGAATAGCCCATTCTGATTCTGACTCCAGACCCCTATTTCCATGAACCAAACAGACTCTGATAGTGTAGTTGGATTTGTGATTTTAATTTTCAAAGTTTTGTTCATTATTAGCTTGCATTGAACTTTGTAGAAGATTTGAAACCTGTTTACAACGAGTCGATGTTGTTGAAGCATATTAAACGAAGGGTTGAAATTTTGAAGAAAATTAATGGATAAATTAGTCGTTTTCATATTTTTGTTAATGGACGTTAATGGTATGGAGGATTCGATCAATTGTCAGAAAACTTAGAGATAATCTAAGACAATATGTAAAGGTAGGATTAGTCAATTAACTAAACCAAAAGGGTAGTTTAAAAAAATTTTCCTACCAAATAATGTTAAAATAATTAAATAATACCAAAACATCATTCTTCTAATAATAATTTTATTATTAAAGTTGAAAATACTAACATTAAAGAAAATTAAAATAATGTTTTAATAAATAGTATTAAAATATATTATTTTATATTGTAAGTATTGGTGAAAATGGGGTCACTATAACTTTGGAGGAGAAGCTCTGAGGCGCATCTTCAGACACTGTATTTAGAACGTTGTTTGCCCCCACTTAGTTTTACTGAGTTTGTTGTTGGGTTACAGGCAAATTCTTTCCCAGGATACAACAGAGCCTTGGGCGAGAATCTGCAACTAGCAAAGTTGAAGAGTCTCCAAAGAAACCTTCTATGAGTCTGTAGCAGACTGGACTAAGAGAAAGAGAGAGTGTGAATTTCGAAATTGTGTGTTTTGAAGTTTGATTCATGCTTCTTAAATAATTTGTGAAGAGGTATGAAGAAAGGTAGGTGCTGGTTTAGAGAAGGCACCTTTAACAGTCACAATTTCAAACATTGTGACTGTTTAAAAAGTAGTTAACAGTTAGTGACTGTTAATTTTGAATTGTGCCTCTTGATCACACCCGATCGAATCGTGACCGTTGATCTCATCAACGATGATCAATGGTCAGCAACGCACCAAAACCAAAGCCGTCGATCGCGAGCCACGCGAAGTGCGAGCAAAGTGCGCATCTAAAGCGCCTCATTGCGCCGCACACACGCGCGTACACGCATGTGCGTGCGTTGCGCGGTATCGAATCCCCATACTCTCCTCTACTAATTCTAAGGAGTGTAAATCAGCTCCTATTAAAATACTGAAAACAAAACTTATAATTTTCTAATGTGAGACAAGTTCAAAACTGGGTTTTGTAAGAAAAAAACTGATTTTTCAATCAAGTGTGCAGGTGCGATTTCTCATGTAATTGACCAATCAAACCCATTGAATTTAATCTCTTATGAGATTAAAATCCAACAATCCCCCACATTGATTGATCAATTACATAGTTCCTTCTCAATCCAAACTACTATGATACAATTATGCATACAAAATGTATTTATCAACTTAAACCTTTTGTTAGTATAGATATCTAAGAGCCTTGTCAAAGTTATTGGTGGTAAGACATTAAACCAATTACTCTCAAGACAGACCGGAGACACCTATACACACAAAAATGTCCAGTCTCTGCAATAATTTCAAGTTTTGCTCAACATTGTTATAGCCATGTGCTTATTTCCTGGTTTCAAAAACAATGTCGAGAGCAAAGCCAAACTCTCATGAGAAGCGGCACCACTTCTATGTTCACATAGGTGAAGTTCCACTATGTACTCCGTTATTTGACACATTTCAGAACTTTCTTAAAAGTTTATCTCAACCTTTTATCATAACGGACCGCACTGTTTATGTTGTGATGAGAAATTTTTTAGTGTCAGTGTTAACAGTCACATTGCAGTAACTTGTTGTTACCCATTAAACCCAACACTGATGGTTTTTCAGTTCAGGTTGGGTTACCATTATAGGTGACTAAGTAAAGGTTTTTAATCCCATATCTTTGGTTGTCATTCTTACAAATTCTCTGGCCAAGCCCTTGGTAAGAGGATCAACCAAGTTTTTACTTGACCTCACATAGGTTATAGTGATGATTCCATCTTGAATCAGTTGCCTTACAAATTCATGTCTCAGACTTATATGTCTGGACTTACCATTGTAGGTACCACTGTAGGCTCTTGACAGAGTTGCCTCACAAATTCATGTCTCAGACTTATATGTCTGGACTTACCATTGTAGGTACCACTGTAGGCCCTTGACAGAGTTGCCTCATTATCACAGTAAATGGAAATTGAAGCCATAGGACTAGGCCAAAGTTTTATATCCAATAATAAATTCCTAATCCATTCAGCATTTTTTCCAGTAGCCGCTAAGGCTATGAATTCGAATTCTATGGTCGAGTGAGATATACAAGTTTGTCTCTTGGATGCCCAAGAGATTGCACCCCCACCAAGGACGAAAATCCATCTAGATGTGGACTTGTTATCTTCATTATCGGTAATCCAATTTGCATCAGTGTACCCTTCTAGTACAGTTAGATAATTACAGTAAAACAAGCCAAGTTTCAAGGTTCTCTTGAGATACCCAAGAACTCTTCCAATTGCTTTACAGTGCTCTGCACTGGGATTAGTTGTAAACCGACTGAGTTTACTTACTGCAAATGCAATATCAAGTCTGATATAAAGCATAACATACATCAAGTTTTCTACTGCACTAGCATACTCAAGTTGTGCAATTGCTCTACTAGTATTTTCTATTAGTTTTATTCTAAAATCATATGGTGTGCTATATTCTTTAAACCCTAAATGCTTAAATTTCTCAAGTACTTTCTCAATATAATGTGATTGGCTTAATGCATGGTCCCTATTATGCTTTTTAATTTTTATTCCCAATATGGTATCTACTTTTCCTAAATCTTTCATCTTGAAGACAGAGGATAAGTAGTTTGTAGTTTCGTTTATGCCAACCATATTGGTGCCGACAATAAGCATATCATCAATATAAAGACATATAGTTACTCCATAATTTTTAGTGAATTTTGAGTAGATGCATCTATCAGCACTATTATGTTTAAAACCAAAAACTATGATGCAAGAATCAAAATTTTCATGCCACTGTTTAGATGCTTGTTTTAATCCATATAGTGATTTAACCAGTTTACAGACTTTTTCTCATTTCCAAGAAGAACAAACCCTTTTGGTTGTTCCATATAAACCTCTTCATTTAAATCACCATTTAAGAAAGCGGTTTTAACATCCATTTGATGAACAGATATGTGATAAATGAATGCTAATACTATGAGTGTTATAATAGAAGTTATTCGAGCCACTGGTGCATAGGTGTCAAAGTAATCAATCACTTCCTTTTGACTAAATCCTTTGACTACTAATCTAGTCTTAAAAGTTTGTATAGTTCCATCAGTGTTGTATTTTATTCTAAACACCCATTTACATTTTATTGGTTTTGAGCCTGGAGATAGGTCTACTAGTATCCATGTGTTATTTGACATTATTGAATCTATTTGATCATTTATAGCTTCTTTCTAAAATGCAGCATCTGTAGAGGTCATGGTCTCACTATAGGTTTTTGGATCATTTTCAATGTTTAGGACAATATGTATCTTATTTAAAATCTTTTTCTCTATCAGCCTTAACCAAAAATACAATTGACCGAGTATAGATAAAATCTGAACCTAAATATTTATGTGGATTCATTTTCTGTAGATTCAAAGCACAACTTATTTTCAAAGAATTCAACATTTCAACAAACGTACTTTTCTTAGCTTTGAGTCATAATTTAGTACTTTTAGGATTTGAAATTTTATAATATGCTAAGCACCCTCACACTTTTAGATATGCTAAATTAGTTTTAAAGTGCCTCATTACGCCGCACACATGTGCGCGATATCAAATCCCTATACTCTCCTCTACTAATTCTAAGGAGTGTAAATCAGCTCCTATTAAAATACTGAAAACAAAATTTATAATTTTCCAATGTGGGACAAGTTCAAAACTGGGTTTTGTAAGAGAAAAACTGAATTTTCAATCAAGTGTGCAGGTGCAATTTCTCATGTAATTGACCAATCAAACTCATTAGATTTAATTTCTTATGAGATAAAAATCCAACAATAGGTATATGTTGTAGGCTTTTTATTTCTACCAATATCAGTTATCAGGCTGAATCCTCGTACATGATAGGAAAAGATCAAAACAAGCGGTGTAGCACTCTACGTGGGGACGTCCCTACACTTTCATCACCAACTGACCTTAGGATGTGTTTGGTTTAATAGAAATAAAGTCAAGAGACAGACATGGTTTTCACTTTTCAGGTTTTGTGACTTTTGTCGCTTGGAGTTTAACGTTTTCTTCTTCTACGACGAGTCGAGTCTCAGTCGACGACCTTCCAAAGTTGGCACTTCGCAGATCACAAGTCACAAATCACAACTCCGAGATTCAAGAGTCCTAGAGCTTTGCCCTTGGAACTATATAACCGTTATATTAGTTGGACCTCTCTTGAACCAGCCAACCCAACCTCTCCGCGTGTTCCCTCAACCAACGAGAACTGTTCCGTGCCTGATATAAATACACGTCCTCTAAATCTCCATTTCGAGCAGGTCGTCGTTCAAAAGCGAGCTCCTCGTGTTGGACCTTTTTTCTTCTTTCTTTCTTTCTCTCTCTGTATCCTTTTCCTTTTCCCCGACTGTTCTTCATTTCCATTCGCTCGCTATAACAAGGTAAAGTCTACTGATCTTCTACAATGATCGCAATCTCTTACCAAAATTGTTAGGGTTTCTGATTTTTGTTGTTTATTTGAATTCAATTTTGAATCATCCTTATTCTTGCATATGCTTATTTTGATGATCGAGGGCTGTTTAGTTAAAATATTAGGTTTCTATTGATGGATCTATTACGGATTCTACGAAATGGCTAGTTTTATTTAATTCTTTTTTTGATAAGTCAGTTTTATTTAATTCTCTCGATAGACTGGCTTAGATTTCGACTTAGGGTTGAATTTATTTGTTTGTCGCTGAATTTCGTATTCTGACCTTATGAAGGATGCTTCACAGGAGTTTAGTTGATCATAGATTATTTGCTCTATGTTTTCTTTTCTTTTTTTTTTGGGGGGGGGTAGGTGGGAAGAAATGTAACATGTGATAGTTTTTGTTTTATAGCGATCAATTTAAAAACAGTGTAAACTTCATTACTAGTGCTTATAGATACAACTGGTGTGTGATATGATGTATATTTTACGCCTTTGTTTATGTTAAATTCAGGTTCATTTGTTTCTGCGTTCGGTTCATTTTTGTCTTTGCATTGTTTCCATGCCTTCGGCTGTCTCACCTCAGTGGCATGAGAAGGCAAATGGTTTCTTTACTTCTTCAGGTAACCTCTGCCTGCTCACCGCAAGACTGCAACATTTACAAATGATTATATTGAGAGATTTCTATTTCTTGCTTCCTCTGATTGTGGCAAAAAAGTTTTAATTCAGGGGTTAAGCTTAAAGAAGCTGGACAGTCTGCTGGGACATTTGTGGGGGAGGTTGCAAAAGATGCTAAAGGGAATGTAGCTGATGCAGCTGAAAAAGTTGGGTCATTGGTGAAAAATCGATGGTTCCTTATACGGGAGGCTGCACTGCGGCCATCAACAAGAGATGCTATGCAGGATCGCCTTCGTACTGCTGCCTCAACAACTGGGATACTGCTGATGAAGGGCATCTCAGAAACAAAGGACAAGGTTGCTGTAGGAAAGATGAAAGTTGAAGAGGTAACAGTGGACTCTGGTAAATCTATATTCAGTATTTCAAATGACAAATTCCTCTGAACAGTATGATCAGGTATTGCCTAGTGCTGATCCTGGCATCTGGGGTCTTAGGAGGTTTCAACTGTATACGGACCTGACCTCTGAACAGTATGACCAGGCTATTGCCTAATGCTGGTCCTGGCAATCTGGGGTCTTAGGAGGTTTCAACTGTATACGGACCTAACCTCTGAACAGTATTACAAAGCTAAGTTATTTTAATTTACACTTCTATTTCTCCCTCCCTTAATTGTACATGGCTATCTTTTGACCTTTTTTCAAAGGCAATTCATGTAACTTTAGCTAAACTGTGGTTGTCAAGCATTTCTACACTAGAAAGTAGTTAAAGGTGGCTGAAATATTTAACAATTCCAAAACTGCTAAAGCAGCACTAAATTGATTTGTATATGCCATGTACCTTCTTCGAGTATGCACCATGGGTTTGACATGCTTGCCTTCTCAAATAGGCATGGCTTATGGACATAATTTTGAGTTCCTCTACTCATGGTTTAAAGTATTGATACACCCAAATGTATTGGCAGGGGTGTATACCTTTTACCACATGCCTTTTATTTTTTTACTTTTTTTTTCAAAATTTCATATATATATTATTTAATAAATAAAAAATTGGTTTTCTGAAAACACCTTTAAACAGGTGTTTCGGAAACCCAATGATACGATACGATATGCCCGATATGGGATGTATTGTATCAATATTTTGAACTTTGTCTCAGCTATTTTTTTTTTCTGTAATTACAATTTGCTATTACTAGTTCAAGGGTCAAAATATTGTCATAGGTTATAAGATATCCGATAATACCTCTTTTGCATTTCTATGTATATAGTAGGTTTGAGTTCTTCATGCAGACATGAGTATGACTACACCATAGCCAGATGTAACAAACTATGACTTGTAATTGATGCATTATATCTATCTCCTCATGAAAAATATGTGGGTGTACCAAATGGAAAGAAAAGGAAAAGGATATATTCTAAATTTCTCACTTCAGTTTAGGGGATGTATTACATTTGAAGGTGGCCAATTTCAGCAAATTTGTACTGATAGAATGCTCAAATAATTTGTTTTTCCTATGTGACAAAGATGATGTAATTTGGATTATGGAAAACTAAGTTCAGGGTACATATACTGATGGTAATACCAATGAACCAATCTTCAGGATTTAGTGGGAGATTTGGTAATATTAGGGAGCTTAAGGAAAGTAATTATTTTATATTTTCTATTTAGTGTCCTCAGGATTAGTTTAAGAAGCTTCAATGGATTTTAATAAAATCTTTTTATTCTCCTCTTGTGCATGTTTCTACTCTGATCTCATTTTAGTTTCATCTTTGGCCCATATATATGAAGGGGTAGTTTTGTGATATTAGTTTCAGTTCATTCTGTTTTAAGTAAGGATCTGAGATTAGTTGTATTCTTGTTGCTTCTTTAGTGTAAATTTTATCTGAGATCCTATCTGCAAAATTTAGGGCTTCAGGTATTCAAAAGGTCTTTGCTTTTGTCTCTTTTAAAGTTATTGAAACATTACTAGTGCGCAAGCAACAATAAAAAGGTTATTTAGAAGTTAATAGACCATATAAAGGTATAAGAATAAACAAAAAGGTAACTAAAAGCATGTTTATAAAAAGGCACACACCTGGGTTACCTGCACCTCAATCCATGTCTTTTACCCCCCTCCCCCGCCNAAAAAAAAAAATCCAGCTGATCTTGCCTGAGTTCAAGCATGAGCATGCCTTAAATGCGCATTGCTTACGTGCCTAAGCATGTCTTTTAAAGCACTGTTCCAGGAAACAAGCTGATTAGTATAAGAGCCTGAAATTTCCATTACAAGTTTATTTGTTTCTTAAAACACCTCAACTCTCAAACCACATTTTAGCTTAATATGGTATTTTCTAATGTTATCATATTTGAGAAGAATGCTTGCATGTATCTTGTGATTTTCTATCTGAATTTAGAACTTAAATGTGTATGTTGAAGGTCTAATGGTGTATTGCAAATGGATGGTTCTTCAGGTAGCAAAGAAGACTGCCCAAAGAAGTAAGAGCATTTTGACCAATATTGAACGTTGGCAGAAGGTATGTAATTCAACATAGGCAATCAATTTTGAACCCAGTTGCTTGTTCAAGTCCTGATTTTTTCTTTAACTATGCAGGGAGTTGCTAGCACTGATGGTGAGTTTTCTATGCTCTGTAAATGGTATTTGTTTGTGTCTGTACATATACATCATATTATTGGTTCAGTCAGAAAGGTAGTCCATGTCTCCTTTGGCATCATATAGTGTGTATTTAAAAAGTTTCAACAGTTCTACTATTGTGATTTTGTCTCTAGAAAGATTAAAGACTTGAATGTTCTTTCTGGAGTAGTAGCTAAGTCCATAAGGAAAAGATTCTTAGTTTCAGTCTGTGCCTCAGCTAGCACTGAAATTTGTGTGACTGTATTGATTTGGCCAAAAGCAACTATGATCTTCATCAGGAAATAGTTATGCCTTTGATATGCGTTGACTGTTAGTCTAATGCCTTCCCTGCAAACAACAAATTGACAATACATTTCATAGTACCAATATGCATACTTTATTACTGCTTATCTTTGTTCGTACACGAATTGTATGGAATTAGACAAGCCCTAACATACAATTGCTCATCAGTTTGTAGAATTAGACCTCTTCTATTTTGTATTTTTGGATTTCAAGATTTTATTTTGCAGGAATCATCATCATCCAAGTCTTATACCAACTATATGGGGCCAGCTACATGAATCCTATTTCACCATTCCGTTCTGTTTAATGCCATATCTATTGTTAAATTATGATTTATCATATATATTTTCAACTGTTAAAAGATCAAAATATAACTTGTTTGTTTGGCAATAAAAATAGAAGGCTTAAAATTGAAAAGAAAACTTAATGTTATGCAAGATGATGTAAAACTTTTTTTATTGGTGTGAAAAATACAAGCTTTGATCTTGAACTTTCCAGCTCATAACTTTGTGCATGTGCCTGTGTTTGCACATGCAACATGCATGCTTGCATTTGTATGTGTTTCTATTGAAGTGAACTAGTTTGATTTGAATGGTTGAGAGGTAGAATTCAATGAAGTGAATAAGTCTGGAAAAATGGTATTTTAGTGTGTCATGTGAGTATCACCATCATACAATACTGATACTGATATATATGGTATGCACCTGTGTCCTAAATCAATATCATAGCATGTCATCTAAGTGAACATAATTTGATAATTTGATACTCCTTTTATTGTAGAAGGAAATCTTTTCACTTTCAGTGCATAAAGTAACAGTTTCTAATGGAAACTTGAAATGAACATTGATGCATTGATTATCTAGAAACCTATGAGAAGAAGGTAGGGATATAACAAGAACTGTGTCTGAAGCTATTGGCTTCTGGGAATGGTTGCAAAGTTTGATATTGTAATTCCTTCTAATGGATCACTTACAAAGGTGCATCACTGCATTGTAGCACTCAGCTTCTTACTTTATTTTCATATCAGGAAAACTACCTAGATCTGAGGGTGCAGATTGAAGAGTTAGAAATACAACTAGGAGTGGAAAGTGGTATGTTAAGCTTAAAAGTAATGATAAGCCACTCCTAAGGATTGGCAACTGAAGTTGTTCCCTAGCACTGTCAACCAGATCTGTTTGAGATTCATCTCTACTCTAGCATTGTACTTGTCAGCAATAAATACTACTAAATAATTTAGAAAAAAATTAGAAATAAACAGAAAGTAAGAGATTAAAACAGAGAAACAAGTTCACAAATCAAGAAGAAATATGCCCCTCAACTGAGTTCCCTTAATCCTTCATCTTCTCCAGTCATGGCTGTATAAGATGACTCGTTAAACAATTATAGAATATATAGAAAAGACAGAAACATGGAATTGTTTTTTTATTCTTTTTTTTCCCCTTTGAGTTTTGAATATGAGATTTCTCAGAAGCTCTTATTACTGCATCTGTTTTTCTTTTTAAAGAGAAATTGGGATTGTGAATCTGTGATTACTGGATTAAGAGAGTTTGCAATTGATAGAAAGAAGAAGCAAAGTGACCCAGGTCATCTGATAGTGATGGTTGAGGATTTTCTTTTGATTCCAGTTTTGATATCTATGAGGGGATCACAGAAGATTACTTGAAAGGAATCAATTGAAGTTATGAGTTGTTAAATGCAAGCTTTTGGTGGATTAGGTTTTGAATGTTTCAGATGATTACAGCTCTTCCAGCAGTAGCAGTAGCAGAGATGGGAGTTCTGAGAAGTTGGAAGGCGTTCCTTTATAGAATGCATCTGCAGAATATAATATGAAAAAATAAGGGTCTTGAGGATTATCGGTGTCACTACTTGATGATTTTCTGTATGGGAAGTATCCCACAACATTTCTGCAAAAAGATGCTCTTCAGCTTCCTTTGTATTTGGGTGGGTACTCAACCCCTCAAAGATTGTTTCCCCTCGCTCTATTCCATTTCCCTTCACAAACTTGAGCCAATTGCAACTTTTCTCCCAATCCCGTTAAACCCCTTATCTTTAAACTGGGACTTTGGGTTTCGTAGAGGGTTAAGGGATGGTGAGTCGAATTGTGTTATTGAGCTAATTCATTTACTAGAATC